TATATTATTTAGCTAAAAATACGTTAAGATTTACGATATCCATTCGATCTCAAGTGTAGCGTATACGTCAAATAATGTCCAGTGCGTTTATTAATCCGATTTACGTGACGTATACGCTATGCAAATGACATTTGAAATCGAGTGGATTTAGTAGTCTAAACGTGCTCTCAATAATTGTAGATTTACTGTTTACCTGATTTAGTAAACCCGGTGGATTTAAATTGTAATTTCCATTGCATATACGTCAAGTCTTAAAAAGATAAACACGGTAAAAGTGCCTAATGTAAACACACTGTAATTACATGATGATGCACATTATCATGGCAGAAGAATACAGGTAAAAGCATCAAAGCTTGAGGGCTCTTAAATGTCAAAATTTGGAAAAGTTTCTTCAAAAATAAATAGATTTGTGAAAGTTTTCCTACATGACGCCAATCGGTGGTTGTTATGATATACCTTTTTTAAGAATTTTTAAAAATTTGAATAATTTTTCATTCAAAATTTTCAAATCCAAAATTGTTTTGACAGTTCATTGTCCCAGCAGCTGTATCGATGCGACTACCTGTATTCTTCTACCATGCACATTATACATTATAAAAATATAAAGTATTGTCAAATTTAAAAAAGAAAAATCTAACAGAACAATCAACAGAAAGGAGTAATATTGTATCTATATCATAGTAGAAGCATAAAAGTTAGTCGTATCGACACAGCTGCTGGGACATTAAACTGTCAAACCAAACTTGGAATTTGAAATATTGAGTGATAAAAAAAACAACCTTCGATTGGCGTCGTATAAGAAAACACAAAAAAATCTTCTTAAATTTGGAAAAACATTTTAAAAATGTTGACATGTCAATGTTCCCAAGCTTTGATGCATCTACCTGTATTCCTCTACCATGATTTTTATTTACGTTTTCATACCATCTAGTTATGTTGCATTTGCTCTGAAATTTAACTGCATATAAAGTAGTTTCCCATCGCAGATTTGTGTATATAAAACAGGTTCTTGAATATATATTTTTTTCATAATGAATCTTAAATAAACGAAACCAAATGTTGCAGGCTTTATAAATCTATTTGACACAATAAATCTACTACAGAGTTGCCTTCTCCCAAATTTCTTCCAAATTAATTTATTTATTTAAAAACATATGAAAATATCTATGTGTATGCGCATATTGCAACCTCGATTGCACGCAACAACCTTTTCAAAAAAAAAAAAAACATTCACTCAATTATCGTAAAATATCTAAATGTGTTCTACTCAGTGTTGTGGCACTTCTATGTTATCTAGACCTTTCCCAACATTGAGTCATATCGGTGTATGAGCGGCGACCTTACATTGATTAGAATATTGAGAAGCCATTACAGACATACATGCACACTTTGAAAGCTAGAATTTTTTGTTTGGGTATTTAAAGAAAATATTGTAAAAGTAAAGGAGGGGAGAGGTTTTTTGTGTGATATTTTCATGGCAAAATAATTATTTCAACCTTGGCATAAAATGAAATATGAACACTTGATTATATGAATATTTTTTTTTTTGTTTGTGAAATCATTGGGTTATGTCAATAGGAATAACAGCAATTACGAGAATTGTCATTTATTTGGGATGCATGGATGGTAGAATCTGTAATTTCTAGCTGGAAATGGTTTGGACTTTGAAAATGTTATATTGTTTGATATAAATATCTTTAACATTTTTTAAAAGGCTTCAAGAACCACATCAAATTTCAGTCTTTTAAATCAATTTAAATTATTAAAAATTATTTATATATTATTATATTTTTTAAAATTTTCCCAATGACATGCCTACCAAGATACAAATAATTACTACCTTTCATTGTGTAATTATAGCCCATAAACATTCTGTAATTATCAAATAACTGACTACTTCAACAAATGGCTAAATAAATTAGAATAAGCCGTCATTGTTTGTTAGCATTTGAGTGGTGGAAGTGAAACTAATTACAATGCCAAAATGCAATTGTTAGCAAATTACTACAAAAAAAAAAAAAAAAAACAATTTTATGACGCTGATTCACACGTAGAAAATGAATTCATTAGATTCTAATCATGCATGCATTTGATGCACCGCCTGAGACGAATTAACTTAAATTTGCCAAAATGGAAGTATTGCGGCATTAAAAACTTTGACATATTGGATATCACGAACAGTGTAAAAGAGAGAGGGAGAAAAAAAAATAAAATACATTAGAGAAGGCAGGCATACACGGTACCCTACATATGTTTCTTATGTATAAAACTGCAAAGGAAAACTTCTATGTATAGTGTTACATATACAGGATGAGATGAAAAAACTGCAACCAACTTCAGACTGCTGTCACTCATCCGACAGCTTTTTGAAATTATTCCAGTGACAGCTCATTATATTGTTTACAAGCGCATAAAAGTATTTTGGTGAGAATTTTCCAGAAAAAAAGTTATTCGCGGAACATATCGCAATATTTCCAAAATATTCGCCAAACATTGAAATATTAGCTCGGGGTAAAGCCATTGAAATTCCAAAAAGTGCAAGAACTTACACCGCAACAGAAAAAACCGACTCAAAAAAGCTAAAGAGTTGCTTCGCTTGGCCGAAAGGGGTGAACTGCCGAATTTGTCCGATGGGAAAACATTCGTTGTATAACAGTTTGTAAACAAACAAAATGATCGTGTTTACTTGCCAAAGAGGTCAGTTGAAAATGCCCACCTTCGGTTGGCCACCAGAACTCAAGCGCCGGCCATGGTGATGGTGTGGCCCGCCATAACAGCCGATGGTCGCTCTCCACTCGTATTAATCGACCGTGGCATCAGAATAAATGTCGAATATTATCGCGAAAATATTCTTGAGGGTGTATTAAAACCTTGGGTATGCAAACATTTCGGCCGCAGACTTTCGACATTCCAACAGGACTCAGCACCTTCGCACTCAGCACGCACCATCCAAGAATGGTCACAAAATGAGGTTTCTCGCTTCATTTACAGCGCACAATGGCCACCAGAATCTCCGGATACCAATCCGTTGGACTATTGTGTCTGGAGTATTTTGGAAAGCAAGTTTGGCACTGAAAAAATACCAAAGTGTCGATCACACAAAGCAAGCGCTTCACCGGGAATGGGTCAAAATACAGTAGAGCAACAATCGGGCAGCGTGTGACGGTTTCATTCGTGCCAAAGGTGACCAATTCGAACAAATCTAAACTTATTCTAAAATTTGATGCCATTTCCGACCTTTTTTGCTTTCATTCAATAAAATTTAAGAAAGAGCAGTTTTTTTATCTCACCCTGTACATCGTATTGCATAAAAGTTATACTACGCTCCGAAGGCATGTGAATGTTGAAACAAATATATATAAGAAAACATATAAAAATCTACTTATTTTTGAAAAATCGTTTAAAATTTTTGACATATCAATGTTCTCAGGTATTCTTCTACTATGCCTTAATATTTATCAAAACTCTTTTTTTTTGTAAATAGATATGTCTGCAATTGCCCAACAATTAAAATTATCTAATGGAGTATACAAACACAGAAAAATGACTAGACAACTTGAGACGATTAAATAATTTGTTTTTAATTTTGTAATCTATTACACATGTAAACTATTTCGAAGTAGGTATATAGAGTACGGGCATTATAGAATTATGAAAATAGTTAACCCTCTTTGCTGCTATAATAGACAAAAAACAAAGTCCAAGGTTTAATAAATACAACAATTCGTTTAAAAACTTAAACAATTCAATCCTTAGATATTTCTGTCATTATTAAAAAAATCGATCAGAATTTCACACAGTTTCAGGCAACATCTGTTGCTATTGATTTCAAAATGACTTTCATTTTTTAACAAAAAAAAATAATAATAATTTCAATTGTCGTATTTGTCTTTTGTATAATTCCTTCATAAATATTGATTCAATTGTTGAATAGTTTTTGCTGAGTGACAAACAAAAGAATCAATAGTTTTTTTTTCGATTTTTTTTGCCAGGCAACTTGTATTCTCTCAGTCAATTAAAAATTCTAGACAGAACTATACTTTGTTTACCATTATTATTTGTTTTTATTTTTTTGTTGTTGTTTTCATTAAAACGAATGGAATTCATGTTCAGATAAACAACAACATATTGGGTATTAATTAATTACGCATGCGCGCAAAGTTTAAGTAAACAACAACAGCCGGTCAATCAGTAAATGGCTGATGGGAATATCGTCACTTGTTGTTCACCCCAATTGACATCCCATAAATATTAAAAGAATATTCTTTGAAATAATTTATTTTTAAATTGTAATAAAAAGGAAGTTCGTCGTAGCACAACTTAAGTGCCACAATGAGGAAAACACTTGTTGAGAATATCTAAATCTAATTATCACAAAAAAAAACACTTTCGTCCGCACATGGCCAACATGTATGATCGGTCATAAATATGAAACGTGATAACAATTCTATTTTTCTGATAACCAAATCAAGTGGGGTTTCTCAAGTAGCATTTCGAGTCATAAACTTTGAATTGTCCCTTATCTAGTTTAAATATTTATAGAACAATTGTTCTTCTGTTTGAAAAAAAAATCTCAAAGATAAACAAAATTATCTATAGAAGAGTACCGAATGAAAAAGAAAGTGAGGCATAAAGTAAATATATCAAAATTCCTAACATGAAAATAAATAACAACAATGTTTTGGCAATGGCAATTGGGAATATTGCGCAGCATCACAAATAATTGCGTATTTCCAATTTGGGGTTTTTAATAAATCCTATGATTTCCTATTGTTGATCAGATAGATCCATAGAAACAAAATCCATAGAAAGCTTAAAAATCCATGTAATAATCCACAATTAAAAAAAAAATCCGCAATACCCACAATTTTATGACAATAAAAACTATTTTATGAAACTCCACGATTGTTGTTATGGCAACCATTTTTAAAATCGTATCTTAATTTCATAATTAATTTATAAATTTTACTAATTTTGCCCCCTCTTTTTCTTCATTACAGAGCTACAGCTCCCTTGGCCACAACAAGCGCAACCTACTCGGGTATCGATAGTCCCATTTCTTCATCACCCAGCGATAGCAGCACACCATACAACATGAACAAACTCTGCCGTCAAGTGTCAATTGAATCGCCTGGACCTCAGGTCAGAAATTGTGTCTTCAATTTCTTTGTACCCATCGAAGATACACCCCCGACGGGGGCACGCATCAAAATCGTCTGTGCCGGTGCCTGTTATCGTCGTCGTGATCGTTCAGCATCCATAACTAGCATGTCATCCGTGTCCTCAGACTTAAGTGATTATTGTCCGTCACAAACGTCACCGGCTCATGCTGGCATACGGGAAGGTTCATTTTTCCCCGGCTTCGAGGTAGCCGGTGTCATCGAATCGCTGGGCAGTGCCATAAATGATAGCAACAATTGTGGTCTGCGCATTGGACAACGTGTCATTGTCTATCCATTTGATGAGGCACCAGCTGGCTATGCTGAACTATTGGTTGTTCCTGATTTGAAATACATTGTACCCATACCGGATAGTTTGCCCATTTGTGTGGCCGCCATGTTGCCAACAGGCGCCCTCTTGGCCATGAATGCTGTCTTCAAAGCGGAAGAAGTTGTCAGGGAAATGCTGAAGAAACGTGCCCCTGAAGATGCAGACAAAAAATGTAAACTATTGATTGTCGGCACTGGCGGTTTGGCATTGTGGGCTGTACGCATAGCATCACATCATTATGCCACGACTGGGGCAGATAAACATATTGACATCACTGTGGCTAGCTTACGTGATGAGGGCTTTCGTTTGGCTACCGAAATTGAAAAGTAAGTAGAGAAAAGTCTCGAACAGTCTTTTATATCCACCAGCAAAAAAATAGACTGGATAAAATTATGGCAAGGACGTTTACTACCTCCTTGTGACCCCAATTAACATATATTTTATGGGAGAACATGCCTGAAACTGTAAAAGCTCCAAAATTTGCAAAAGCTGTAATTTGTGAAGTATTTCTAATCTTGTAAATGTTACATGTTCCTTTGAAGTTTTCCAACTTTGTGAGGATACCTCATCACGGTACTCATGGAGAAGACAAAGTGTCAAATTGCTTTAAAATCTGGGGGATAATTTCATAGAAAATTGTGTTCTGAAGCTACGGCTAATAAAGTGCTCAATCATTTCAATTGGTCTACTCCCATTTCCTTTTCATCTTGTTCAACTGTGGCCAGAAATGGTCCCACTCAACGGTCCGTATATTGGCTATATTATGTGAAAATATGGCCGAACTTCACTCTAGTTAAAGTAACCTAGACAAAACTCTATCCCGTGTTCAACAGGAAAACATGAAGCAATCAGATAAGGATTTTTTAATGGCGGGTCTTTTTTCTATTTGGATCTTTTTGGAAGACTGTTTTATTTGATCAACACATTCCTTCGTTTTGAACTTTCAATTAATTTCCATTTTTTTCTTCTCGTTTTATTTCCAGTGTCAGTGTTGTCCAGTGGAACGAATGCCTCTACGAACCACAATTAATTGAACGCACAAAAGATGTCTGCGGCGGCACTGTAGATGTGGTCATTGACTTTGGCACCACCTCACGTTCGCTACATCGTTCAATGCATTGCCTCAACAAGGGCGGTGTTGTCTTGATCAGCGATGAAGTAGCCGAGAAGTTAATGCCTAAATTTTCACGTCTCTCCGTGGAGTATCAACAAGAAATTATAGCCATTAACAACGGCTCTGTGGAACAGTTGAAGGAGTTGGTACACATGGTGGCCGATAAGAAAATTGAACCACCACCACATTCGGTATTCCCCTGTGAACAGGCCGCCGAAGTTATACAGAAATTGTGTAGTTCTGAGATACCAGGACGTGCCATTTTACGTTTCCATGATATTGAATAACTTTTTGGATATCAATGTGTACAAAACATACAAACATGCATACATATATAAACAACCTCATCTCATAATGGCGATTTTCTAGTATTCAAAATTACACAGTTTTAAGATGAATTTTTAAAAAAAGAACATTTCAAAGGTTTTCCGGGCTTATATACTGGAAACCTTATATGCTGGAAAAATCTTTGATAACAAAACCAAACCTCTCTCATTAGATAAGAAAAGAACAATAAGAAAACAAAAAACCAAAACAGGAAGGATCATTCAAAAAAAAAAACCCTTAAACAAAAAATACATACTTACATAAATGTCTATTTAACTGTTGATATAATATGCGTCAAAAGTATGTGTGTGATGACAATGGTGGAATGATGGCAAGAAAGATTTCTCCTTTAATGCGATTTATTTTCAAATTCCCCACCATGACCTATGCACGCAAAGCTACATACTTATGTACATCTTAATTGATAGGTTCATTGTATTAATATTTAAGACTTGAAATGATCTGAAAAAAAGAATGACCATTATTATTTGTATTATTTTAATTTAAGTTTCTTAAAAAAAAAACATCTTCATGATATTTTTCTTTGGTTTTATATTGGCATATTTAGTTTTAAAAAAACAATTATTAACTATAAGCAAAAACATCCTCCAACCCAGTGTATTTATTATTTGAATGCAATATATTAGATTTTAGTTTTGTTTAATTATTATAATTTATTAGTTTTAGTTTTTTACAAACCACAATACACAAAAACATATGAGAACTTTTTATTGTCTTTTAATTTATTTCTTTTTAAAAATAATATTTATCAAAAATTAAAAAAAAAAAAAAACAACGGACAACCTGTAAACATTAAAACAATGCGACTTAAAAACTGTTAAATTGCTTAATATTATTAATTATAATGTTATATTTCACTTTGCTTAGAAATCACTGATCAATTGATCCTTACGAAAAAAAATGAGAATAAAAAACAAGGAATATAAGCAAATAATATAAAAAAGTAAAACAACAATAACAAACATATTTAAGTTATTAACAAAATAAAATCCAAATTATAAATGATTATTACAATTATTGGTGTTTTCTTTTTTGTTCTAATGAATGGCTGAAAATTCCGGCATGTAAAGGTGATGATATACGAGCAGCTTAGCATGGCATATTAATGTCAAGTTATTATCAAACATCTCTATATTATACATCACCGAATATGCCATGCCATGATATCTCTCTATCGTATCATTCATGACCTTAAGACTGCCCAGAACACCCAATTTCGATAAAGCCCCAATATAAAGCCTTCTACTGATTTTAGGTAGTGTGACACAAAATCTCAAAAAAAAAAATAGCAGGCCGAACATTTTGTATAGGTTGGAAGAATGGTACAATGATATCAAGGTAGGGCAATGATACCATATGATTTCAATTTTTTCATTTTCTTGGCTTATTATGTCATCTTTATTTGTTTATGTATGTGTTTTCTTTTCAATAACAAAAAAATTGTTCAGAAAACATTCAAACTCGGATGTTTTCAAAATGTTTATTTCATCGTATGCATCGACAAAATCTAGAGTTTTTGTAGCGAAATAATCCTTTGGAGATATAAAGAACCTGGTTTTGAAAAGAAGTGTTGACCTTTCATTCAGTTTTCGCGGTTTTCAATTATTCAAAATAAATGCAACAATGTGTTTGATTTTGTTATTGTTTTTATACTATTTCTGACATTACAAGCCAAACAGGTAGACCTCTATACTTGCAATTTTTTCAAAGTTGACCTACCTTCTCTTCATTGTACCATGGTTGGAAGTATCTTATTTTAGCATTTTGAAGATATCTGCCACATTGTCCAACTTAATTGGCTGGCTTTCAAGCCCCATTGTCAAATACTGCCACCAGTCCAGTCTCGGGTCTCTGTAGAGTTTGTAAGTTCACTCACCGACACCTATACGTTACACCATTTGCTTCAAAGGCATTTTGTTTCCGGTTATGGAATTCAGAAATGTTAGCAATCTGTAGTGAGTGACAGAAAACAACTGTAAGCATAATTCTCACCAAAGCATATCGATGACAACTGTAAAACTGTTAATGGTATTGAAGGTTAGTCTCTTCTTAAATTAATTTTTAACGGTATATCGGTTTATTAAAAATGTAACGAACAACATTAATTTAGCTATAATAGGAGCTATCAACGTGTAGTGAATAGCACAATACATCATAAGCAACTAAGCATGCAACTAAGTATCTCTGAAACAGCTGTTTTCGTCCGTATGTCTACTTCCCTCATTCGTCAACAATAGATATTTTTGTAATTATGCCTCTTACACCATTCGTCATTTGCGTGTATATGTGAATGTCAAAACATCTTTGGATTTCTTTTGGTCTTCGATTAAATTGGACAAAATCGAGGAAAACAACAGAATTGTCTATAAAATTTGTATTCGTACAATTAATTAAAGCATATTCCAATGCCTCCGAAAGTAACACCAACCTGCGTCGATTGTAAAACGACAGAATCGCTTTTGTGGCGCACAGTTGAGAATGGACAAATATGCCTGACCTGCAGTGAATTGCGTGAGGAAAAAGAAGCCACGGATGAAAACAAAAATGTGGATAGTACCAGCGCAGAGCAAGACAAGAATAAAAAACCCAACAAAGACGTAAAGGAAGAGAAGAAGGAAGCTGCAACGACATCAACAATAGAGGACAAATGTTCTCGCCTAAGAAAAAGTACCAGGGCAACACGTTTTAAGGCCAAGTTAATTTCCACAAACAGCAATTCAACAAATGGAAATGGAGAAAAATCTAACGCTGGCGGTAGTAATTCAAAGACACAGACTAAGGGTCGTAATCGACGAAGTCTTTTCAAACGTGTACCATTTAAAACACCACAGGCTCAAGCCACCACACACTCCGTTGAAAGTGTCTTCCACAAGGTATTTGGTGTCAAAAAATGTGTGAATTTCTAATTAAAGCACTTCGTTTATAGGGTTCCTATTTGCAAGTTGGTGACATTGTATCGCTTGTGGATAGTGAAGATAATGTATATTATGCTCAAATACGTGGCTTATTGATCGATAATTATTGTGAAAAATCTGCCTTCCTCACCTGGCTAATACCCACACAAGAAAGTCCAGATCCCAAGGATGGTTTTGATCCAGCTACATATTTGATAGGTAAGCTACCAAGAAGTTAACTCAATAATTAAAATTTTAGTAGGATGGGTTTTATTGCTAAACAAAGGAGAAACTTTCATCAAGAATGACTTATTTTTAGAAATCACTTAGTCTTTAAATTATTATTAAAGTCTATAAAATGAAATAGAAATTTCAGGAGGGTTCCGACATTTTTTGTAGGAAACCTCTTAATTATTTTTTGTTGGGAAAACACATGGAATGTCATATCTCTATAGAACGCTCGTTATAAGACATTACATATATATTAGAACGAAGTTTTTTTTTTGACGGAAAGTGGCTCATTATTTTAAATTTAATTCTTCTAGGCCCTGACGAAGAACTTTCACGAAAATTGTCCTGCCTGGAGTTTGTTATGCATGCTCCTAGCAATTACTATTTAGATCGAACAACACCATTTCCCCTGCCTGATTCGATGGAATGCGACACAAAGCCAGGCGGTTATATATGGACCAAATTACCAGAATATCAAAGGAATAAAGCCATCGAAGTGTGAGGAAGCCAGAACAAGTTGTATACAAAACAAAATTAAATATTTATTTAAAAATAGAAATTCTCAAAACATAAATAAAATAAAAGAAACATAAACCATTTAACTTTCGTTTAAATTAATGTCCAAATCAGATTCATTTTTTACTGAGCGGGCTCGACGATTCCTTGCCTTCGTATTGTTGTTGTTATGCGATGACTGGTGCTGCTGCTCATTTATTGGTGCTTCACTGGCCGCCCTTCTGCCTGGTGACTTACGTCTACTTGGTACTTTATGACCTCCCGAAGAAGTACTTGGTATTGGCTGTTCCTCAATAACCAGAGTAGAATTTGCTACTGGTTGCATAGTTGATCTGTTGTCATTGATTCCATGATTCGCCAACAATGATAATACACCATGAGGCATATTTTTCTGTACGACATTCATAACAGCACGACCTAGGAACATAACTGCTTCACTGGCATAATGGAATACCATATCTTGACCTCGGTGCTTGACTTCCTGCAAAGTTCTATCAATACGTGTCTCATGTTTCTTCAAAAATGGATGCAAACACTTGCGATAAACTACTGGGCTTCCATTACCCATGGATGGTAGTAGCCAAAAAATTAGCAATATTTTTAATTCATAATAGAACGGCAACCATTTCAGGAACACATCAGTAAACGTTTCAGCCGCTGTGAAAATGGCAAACACTATCCAATATGTCATCCATTTCATATATTCATCAACAGATTTGGCACGAACCGTTTTGAAAGAGTAATATGCAGGATACAAGGTGCCAAACGTAAGTATGGTCAGTCGGGAGAATATGCTGCTAATCATCGTTCGGATTCGGATTGTGGAAAAGACTTATCAAGACAATTCTTATCCAATTTCCTGGTTGTTTTATTGGTTTTTATCCCTCTTTTAATTGAACTGCTTGAAGCGCGCGCTTTCGTTTGGTTTGGTTGTTCGTTGCGAGCGTTGGAAACAAAAATGAAAAACGTCCCAACGAAACGAATATGAAGGCTACAAAGGAATACCCGATAAAAAATAAGCAGAAAGCAAAGACTCGGGGTACTCTGTTGTTTACGAATGAGTGTAATGCATAACGCCCGGGTACTCTGTTGTTTACGAATGAGACATGAGACAATTGAACATCTTCACTAAAGAGCTCGGAACTAGCTACAAATTAAATTGAATTCGACGGCGGTGCGACATGACAGACGGACGGCGTAAGTCGGCAAATGTAAACCCACTGGCGGGTTTAATTTACTTTTATATCAAATATTTGCGAAAACAGAGCCGACAAGGCAAAGTTGGTTTTTAAAAATGGAATTATCACAATTAGCGCCAAACTGCACAACGAAGCGGAAGGATTTTTCGGTGGCGACGCGATTTCAATTTGGTCGGCGTCTGAGAAATACCAACGTTAAAGGTATTGTCAGACGGAATGAGTTTGTAACATTTTTATTATGGTACAATTAAAAGGTAAGGTAGAGCTACCAGCTGATTACAATTTTTTTTCGAAGTGTGTTCGACTTCTGCCAATTTTGTGTATATATTTATTGCTTTGAAAACCAAAAACAATATATTTTCAAAATCAATGAATGGAAGAAACGTACATTGCAGAGCGCGGATTAAAGATAATAACCATTTTTGCCATGGAATTGAAAGATTAAATAGTTCATTTTTTTCAAATTTTTGAAATTTTAAAAATAAGGAAATATATCGAACGTGTAATTTTGAACAATTGTGATAGAAAGCGGGCATGGCCTCAGGACTGTATTTCAATACTTTTAAGAAGATGTTCTAAATCCTTATTGCACAATGATTTTTATTTATGCGTCGTTTTATTGTCAAAATGTTCACTTTATATAAGATTTTGATATCATAACATTTGAATATATATATATTTTTTTTTTCAATACTGTAATGTTATTTTATTTTAAAAATATTATTACTGCAAATTTCATTTCACCTAATTTCTTACAACAACAAAAACGCTTCTCATTACTTTTGTCAGATGAAAATAGGATAATCTCTAATCGAAAAAATTATTGATATGTCAAGAATTTTTAAATGTTTCTTCAAAAATAAATAGATTTTTATATGTTTTCTTATACGACGTCATTCGGGGGTTATTATAATAAGCGTTTTTTAACAATTTTTACAAATTAATATAATTTTTCATTCAACTTTTTCAATTCTAAAATGGTTTGACAGTTCATTGTCCCATCAGCTGAGTCGATGCGCCTACCTGTATTCTTCTACTACCTACCTTTTAAATACACATGAAATAGTACCAATGTTTTTGTCGGTTCACATATGAGAAGTTCCGTGGCATTTTTTTCATTACAGGGATATCATCTCCCATTTATTTATTCACAATGAATTATGAATAAAGATTTTAACAAAAAAAAACGTTGTCAAGGGGGAAATTTTGAAAAAAAAAAATTCTACCAAGGATCTGACTGTGTCTTAAGGAGAGAATAGACAAAAGTATTATTTCTGGTATAAGTCATTGGGTTGCTCTTTCCAGAAAAGAAATCCGACCTTATTTCACCATTAAAATGTGACGGAACAAAGACTTTTATGAACCTTTTAGATCCTCTCACCATCAGATTTCCTTTAAATCCGGTGTGAAATCTATTTACTAACGAATGGCACCACTGGGTAAAGCATTAGGAGGCCTCTTTATTCGCAAAATGTTCGACCTTAGCCTTTTCGCATTCTCTTTTGTGTTGGTATACGTAAACAACCATGTGCTGATCGGCATTTATATTTCCACATGGGTGTAACTGAACACACAAGATTAACCCACCAACAAGTCGATTTAAAATGACTAGTCTAAATGCGCTATTACCTTAAATTGTAGAAATGCGCTTTTATTGGGAATTGTTATTGTTATTTCCGCATCCTGAAGTAACATACGATGAAATGCTACTCTGTACTCTATGAACACCATACCAATATCGGCAAATCTGTTTTGTTGGGGTAGTTATGTTCTTTTGAAACAAAAGAGGCAATATTTTCAAAATTTTTTGTATCGTAAATATCTCCAACCGAATTTAAAAACAGAAAAATATGTGTAAAATGTCAATATTTATACAAAAAGTTCAAAACATGAATGACCTAAATGACAGACTTAAAAGCCCAATGAGACAAAGTCTAAATCGTTCATGGACGAAAGTTGTAAAATAAAAAATAAAATAAATCTTTGGAGGAAAAACAATAATTTCTGCTATTATTATTAATGCTAATTTCATATACTTTCGTACAAATTCCTATAAAAATCAACAAACCAAAATTTTGAAAAAATGGAATTATTTTACTATGAATTACTAATCGTGCCGTATGAACAGGTTAATTCGTGTACCTAATTTTAAGAGCGAACAAAGTGATTGAAATTGCAATGAGAACATAGCATAAGTCGAACAATCAACTATGAATAGTCGAGTACTCGGTTTTCACCCTAGTCCATAGTCGGGTTCGGCAACTAGTTCCGAGCTCCTTAGTGAAGATGTTCAATTGTCTCATGTCTCATTCGTAAACAACAGAGTACCCGGGCGTTATGCATTACACTCATTCGTAAACAACAGAGTACCCCGAGTCTTTGCTTTCTGCTTATTTTTTATCGGGTATTCCTTTGTAGCCTTCATATTCGTTTCGTTGGGACGTTTTTCATTTTTGTTTCCAACGCTCTCATTATTCGCTCTTCATTGTTGCGCTGTCACAATTAAACAATTATATAATATATTAAATTAAATTAATAAATTATTAATTAATAAATTTTTAATTTATCTAGTATAGTTTGCATATTTTTCTTCTTCTGCAAAAAACGTTCACGAAAATGTCCAAAGTCAATGAACTTTTTAAAGTATTTGTCTATGGCACATTGAAACGAGGTGAACCAAATCATCATTGGCTGACAAAAGCAGAGAATGGTTATGCTCGTTTTATAGCTGCTGGACAGACAGATGAGAAATTTCCACTTGTTGTGGGTACACGTTATAACATTCCATTTTTATTAGACCATCCCGGAGTGGGTCATAATATTCAGGGGGAAATTTATGAGGTGGATAAGTCAATGTTTGCCAATTTAGATATTCTGGAGGATTATCCCAATTATTACGATCGTGAAATTCAAAAGATAACGACAACGGAAAGTCGAGAGTATGTTAAACGGAATTTGATACTTTTGATTAGATTACCAGATTCTTATTGCTCTATTATTACAGAACTGTGCCTTGTTGGATTTATTTGATAAGGAAATTTCCGGAAAAATTATTGGAAAAGGAACATTTAACGTCATACCATAATACATCAGCCAAGCCATATAGAGAAAGGTCTGAACGTGATGTGAATATAAAAGCTATTGATGATTTAAATTATTGATAAGATGCATCTCTTCATATGTATGCAAATAGGGGGTAAATTTTATATATGTAAATAATCTTTATATACATGAAATTCCATACACTGTTTTAAATATCCTATTGGAAATATCGTGCACAGCATAAAAAGAAAATCAGGTCTTTGCAGAGAGTACGGAAAACTCTTACATTTATCAAAGTTCTTTCGTAAACCAAGGTTTTTTCTTTGATTGAACTGCGTATGATTACAAATCGAATTGAAACCAAATTGTCCTTACATTATAAGAAACCATTCGTATGTTGACTGTTATTTTTCCTTCTGTTTCAGTTATTTGGATAGCGACAAAGATGACATGTACGAAGACGAAGAAGCACCGAAAGTTTGACAAAGAAACCTTGTTGACCTCTTATAACGCGATAGGTCGGTCTGTGGTCAACTATGCGGCTCCAGTGTGGTCTGCGAATACTAGTGCTACGCAGTGGAAGAATATCCAGACCTGCCAGAACGCTGCCCTGAGAACTGCGACAGGGTGCCTCCTCATGACACCAGTGGACCATCTACATGAGGAGGCGAAAGTCCTTCCCTTACGTCAGCATAATCATATGCTTTCGTTGCAGTACCTGCTTGGGTGTTACCGTGAGAGCCATCCCAACCATCACATGGTGGATAACTCTCCCCCACCCAGGCGTGTCAGGAAGGACATACATGATCTAGAGAGGGAGGTCCAGCGCTACAAGAGAGAGCCTCTAGATCAAGAAGCCTATCAGGCAGGTCTGAGTGGCATTCACACCGATGCAGTCGCGGATGCTATTAGCAGTTACAAAGTGAATGCCGTCCTCGGAGTCCACCCCCCATCCATTGCAGCCGAAGAACGTCAGCTGCCTAGACAAACCAGGGTAGTTTTGGCGCAATTACGTTCAGGATGGTGTAGTCGCCTCAATTCGTATTGGGCACGAATTAATGAAGATGTGCGTGACGCCTGCCCGGCGTGTGATACAGGCCCGCACAATACGCTACACCTTTTTAATTGCTCAGCCAAACCTACCCAACTCACTCCAGAGGATCTCTGGCTACAGCCCGTTAAAGTAGCCGAATTTCTAAACCTGGAGCTGGAACCAGATTAGCAGAACACAAACACACACATGTACTACTGCTACAACAACAACAACCGAAAGTTTGATTGTTACGCATTGTTGATGTATTAAAGTTAATATGTGTTGTATATTTTGTATAGACAATAATAATGTTTTTAGAAGCAATGCTATTTCTAAAAAAGAGTACGATTTGATTTTGTGCCATATTTATTTTTTTACACCAATCCTTATTAGGCATGGTTGCAATAAGTATGTAGTCCAACGGATGTGTTGCATTCAATATGACTGAATAATTGTGCTTTTAATGACTATAAATCAAATAACCCAGATAACGTTTCAAGGAATGTTAGAACAAACATCATGGATTTTTATAAAGAGATTTTTCCAAATACTGTTGTGGCAATAATTGTGAATTTTGAGTGAAATATTCTTTAAGGTCTGTTGGAGCAACAATCGTATCATTTATCAAGGACTATTGGAACAATAATTCTGGGTTGTATCATGGGTCGGGATTTGGCGATTTTCTCAATATTTTAGGACTAAAACAAAAGAATAATCGTTGCAAAAAATATTTTCCACGGGCTTAACTATTTAAAAAATCAGATCAAAATGCACAAATCATTTTTATGACTTCAACTCCTAATTTTCAGAAAATAGAATAACTTATCATAAAACTCGCATGATTTCATTTGATATAAGTTTTCAATACTCTACGAAACGAAGAACGGCACCCACTTTCGCAGCATTTTTTGTGGGATCAAATAACCTATTTTTATTTAACTCCGTTGGACTGATCCAAGAAAAAAATGGTTTTTTATTTACATTTTGATGTAAACAATTTCCACACACAATACATTAACATTGGTATATACAATAAATATTTTTTTCAACACAAACCTGATTCGCAATACAAATACCGAAGACTCATTTGTTTGTTCAAAACTAACTCATTATCCAAAAGTCATCATTAGGATATTTAATTTCTTAATGTGTTTACATTGAAATCAGCTTCTTCTTTATTTTGTTTATTTGCTTATCAAGCTATTTTTTATTTACTCTTTTTCTGTTTACATTTCCATGTTTTTGTTTTCTGTTTTTTTTTTATTTACCCGTTTCTCTTCTTTACAGAATTTTAACGTTCATTTTGTTTATTTTCTTTATCATGATACAAAAATTAGAAAAGAAAAAAATAAAAATTGTAAAAATACAAAAAAAGGACTTCGGGTATGTGGTGTTTACAAAAGGAACGAAAAAAAAACAGGATATTTTCTTAAATAAATCATCCAAAGGAGCTTTACTGACTGATGGCTACACTCTTCGGTATAAACGAAAGGCGGGTGGTGGTAGTGATATTAACACAACAAATGTTTTTGTTTGTTTGAAAGCGTTATTTTTTCTTCATATAAAAAAGAATGGCAAAAATAGAAAACTGAAATTGGAGGGGAAAGGATACGGCTCTTCTGGATGACAGTTGGTTTAGGAGGGGTTTCTGTTCATTTGACATAAATCAAAGCAAAATTGATTTGTAGAGAGGCAGTTCCACAAAAGGCTTATTTATATTATCTTTCCCCATGTATTGTTCTTGAATGTGTGTTTTAAGGTGTTACATGCGTGTGTGTGTCTTAGCTTTCGGCTTCGTCCAGCGATTGGAAACGGTTTGTGGCCTTAGTAGGGGCCGCAGATTGTTCCTTTACCCTTTGCACACGACCACCGTGACGTACTTCTTCAAATGCGGGTTCATTTTTCTTTTTACGTTGTTCCTCAGGCCTAGCGGCTCCCAGGGTAGGGAAGTAGTCGGCGTTTGTAATATCAGGGGCAACTTTCGAGCGCACTTTGGCTTTTATGCCAGTGCCTTGCTGTAATAGAAAACATAAACGGCTTAAAAAACTCAAATAATGTGGAATATATATGGGAATATAATACTTTTTTGTACAGACAATATTTTTAGTAGTTTCATGCCTAAAATTGCCCGTTTACAAAAGGACTAAAGCAAAACGAAAACGTTTTAAAACTTTACAAAAAGCTTATTTAATTTTAAGCGGGAAACTTTTGATTTTCTTTTAATTCGTGTTAAAATCAGGATACATCATCCTTCCTTCCCATAACTTACCGCTGCTGCTGCTCTCAAAGCCGGAGACACATAGGTTTTGGGTTTTGCAGGCATTTCCATAGGTATTTGTGTAACCTCTTCAGCTGGTATGACTTTCTTCCAGACGCCACTGCCGCTCTTTTTACCTGTTTCGCTGTTAACAGTGCCTCCTTCACTTTCACCATCTTCATCTTGACCCTCAGAACCGCTCGATTCATCATCGTCATTCAACGTCAATTGGCCGATTTTCAAACCAGAATAATCCTTGCGTTGTTCCTCTTCAATTTCCTTCCACTCATCTTCTTGAGTCTAGAAAAAAAGAAACAAAAAACAAAGGTCAATAACAATCATGCGTTGTGTTTTCAAAAAAAGTGAAACTGATGGTAATTTTTTTGTTGATTGGCTGTTTCGCACGGATTGTTGTTTTATTTTTTTTTTTTTGCCAGCGTGTCTTTGTTTGTGTTCTCCGCTCATCACCATCACATTACTCACTTGTTCAACGACGACAGTTTTGTCTTCTACTGCCTCGCCGCCCTCTGGTGGTGCAGCTGCAGCTACTGGTGGAACTGTGGTTTCAGGCTTCTTGACTTTTACCACTTCGCGTTTGGACGATTCCTCCAGGTTCTTAACCAATTCTTCAGCAGTCAAGAACTTTGGTTTCTTCGACTTTTTTTTGTCTTTCTTTGCAAAGAAATCATCTAAATCGGCCATATTGCTGCAAAACGACGAACGGGGGTCACTTCTGGGACTCGTTTGGTGTCTGAAAATGTCAAAATTTTGTTTTTAATCTATCACAGGCAAGCTATCAATGAAACATTTATTGATAATTTTATGCAAAATAATCGGCCAGCATGCAGAAATTCGATTTCTTTTAACTTTTTTCTTTCCCTTACCCACTTAACGAACTTAACGTGTTTGGACAAAGAACGATGTCGTCGAGCAGCGTCAACGGCGTTGAACGTATGGGGTTCTTTTGTAGGTGGGTGGCTCTGAGTTTTTGATTACGGCGTTCAAATCTCATTGCTCTTCAAGTGCAACTCTGCTAAGGGGGGTCCATATGTAGAAATTTGTATAAGCCAGATATTGAGCGTATTAGTATATGTTGCCATATATGGCGTTTATATGAGTTAAACGGATCATATCTAACTTTTTTATGAAAACTTTTTCTTTTTAACATTTTTGCAAATTTCTGAGGGAAGCAATAGTAAGAACATCGAAGCATGAATTCATCCCTTCAAGACCAACATATTTGCAATCAGTAGTGAATGTCTCTAACTATTTTTGCCGTAACAGAAGAAAATCGGTATCTTTCAATTAAAAAGAGTTTTTTATATAAGCAAATAATGATAATAACTAGTGTAAAAAACTGTTAGAATTTATGTTGTGTTCCCGTAAACAAGACAAACTAGTAAAAATTCAAAAATAGTTGGAAATCCTTTTTTCCACCCAGTTAAAATAATAAAAGAGAATACCATACTTATGTGCTCTTTTCATTTAACTGCAAGATTTACTGGTTTTCGTGTACGGAATCAGTTTTCAAGTAAACATTTTAAAGCTAGTACAATATGCTATACATAATATAGCAATTACAAGGTAAAGCAGATTGATAAATGTAAAAAATACAACTCTGAAGCTAGAGTTTTAGTTATTTGACAAATTATTCACATAATTAACATTTAAGAAAAAAAGACGAATATTAAGTTATTAATATAGCTAATTTTTTTATTTCACACAATGGAAACTATGGAACGTGGATTTTTAACAATTCCGAGTTTCTAATATGACTAGCAATTTTTTTCATACCATATCGTAAAAATGTCTTATCCACAAAAGTTGTATATTTGATGTTAATTTCAACATCTAATTTTCAATCAATAGCGCTCTTCACGTTCTGACCACAAATAAAAAAATGTACCTGAGCCTTTGATTTTTTAAATATATATATAGCATTTTCAGATTAAATGAAACCTTTTGCAATTGAAATGAAACTTTTTGTAGCGGAAATTAAACCTTTTGTAGTAGAAATGAAACCTTTTCAGGTTTATTTTTTTAGTAATATATAGGTAAAGAGGATTTTTAATTGACTATTAATATATATATTTTTATAAAAATATAAATATAAAAAGAAAATGACTTTACCTTCTCATTTTTACCAATGATTTAAAACAAATCCTAGTTTTGAGCCATGGTAAATTTCAAATAAGCATTTCTATTTCTGCAATTTCTGTAATTTACTTTGTCAAATTTAACTGCATAGAAAAGAGGTTCCCGTCTCTGGTATGTATATGTACAATGGATATATAAATAAATATTTTGACAATGAGATGTTAAAGGAAACAATTTGAAAAAATTTGTAAACATATGATTGGCTGACTTTACCTTTTTAATTCTACCATGAGCATAATTTTCTATTTATTTCAAAAGCTTGTCTTTGTACTTCTGTGTTTCTTTTGACAGCTATTTTAAAATGTTGCAATTTTAGGAGCAAATCGCAGTGTTGTATACCAAAATATATGGATTTAACAATGGTAGGAAAATACAGGTAGATGCACCAACGCTTGGGAACATTGCTATGTCAAAAATGTTAAAATTTTTTGAAAAAATACGTAGATTTTTATATGTTTTCTTATATAACACAATCGTGAGTTGTTAATTTTTCATTCAAAATGTTCAATTTCAAAATTATTTTCACAGTTCATAGTCCCCTGTATTCTTCTACAATGGGTTTAACATTGGATTTAAAACTAGTTTTGATTTTATTTAATTTTATATGGGATGATTAAGCATATAAAGTGAGATAATGCGTTTAATTATTACATGCATCAACGATTGGGAACTTTGATATGTCAAAAATGTTAAAATATTTTTTCAGAAATAAGTAGATTTTTAATTGTTTTCTTATACGACGACAATCGGAGGTTATTATCATGTGCATTTTTCAACAGTTTTAACGAATTTAAATAGCTTTTTATTCAAAATTTTCATTCCAAAATTATTTTGACAGTTCATTGTCCCAGCAGCTATGTCCATGCGACTACCTGTATTCTACTAACATGCGTGTAAGGGTATATTATGAATGGGATTTTTTTTTATTTCGAAGCTCCGGAAATCAATTCTCCATTCATATTCCATATGACATTATATGAGATATCGCACAGATTTTGGTACGCATAAAACATTTCGCAAAGTTATTTGTTAACAATAGGTCACTGAGTTCACCCATGTAATTTGGTCTAATTTGTATATATATATATATAAATTTATAAATTTATGTCTACAACATATACATACATATATATATATATATATATATATATATATATATATATATATATATATATATATATATATATATATATATATATATATATATATATATATATATATATATATATATATATATATATATATATATATATATATATATATATATATATATATATATATATATATATATATATATATATATATATATGTTGTAGACTTAAATGTATGACAAAAGTGGCATTAAACCATTAAATGTTTTTGATCTGGGGCGACGACCGAAGACACATAATCACAATATTTGACAATAAGTTATTATAATGATTTGAATTAGCTAATAAATCGCCTTTGGTCGGTAGCATACTTACATATATATCCATATATTGTGGTAGATTTAATAAAATGACAATAAAACTGCATATACAACACAACGACGACCAACCAACGACCTCCGCACTTTGTTTCACCGACCAGCAACAGAAATATATGCATATGTGTGGTTGAAAAGCAACAGATATGAAATCTAAAACATTAGCTGAACTCTTTTTCCAGTAATGATGATGATGGTTCGTTAAGTCAGTATTATTTAATCGAATATAAAACGAAAAATGTGCAAATTTTGTTTTTACACTTTCTTTGGATTTAACAAAAAATAAAAAAAGCAGATGACACCAAAGAAAGCAAAACGAGATGCAACAGCAACCTCTAATTTATATGAAACTTATCTAACCAGTCAACACCATCACCACCACGACCATCATCATCTTCATCTCAATTTTAATCAACGAATAATTTGCAAATTTTGTTTTTTTGTGCAAATCTTTTTTTCTATGCTGTGTCTCTATTTCTTCTGTTTCGGGGCTTTTTTTAAAATTTGCAAATTTAAACAGTTTCAATGCTGATGAAACCTTAGCTATTGACAAGGGGTTTTGATAATTACATACATATGTATATATGAATATCTTTTGTTTTTTTGGGGGAGGGGGGTTTTGTCCACACCAAATTTGCTAAAGTCTTGTAAGCCAATGCCACCTGTCAGAGAATAGTAAGTAGGTAGGTGAGAAATACCAACATGATGTTATATAACAAGAATAAAGCAAACAGAGCAAAACAAAAATCAACAAATAATCATAGTTTTTAGCAACTTGATATTTGCAGATAGATTGACGATCTTGAACCCATTGAGCCGGGTTTTTGTATTCTCTTTCATAACTCCAAATTGAAGTATTTTAGGTGCTGTTTTGGTGTGCTACTCAGGCTGCCCACTACCTGATTCATTTGGGATCTGACATTGTTAAGGTGGCAATACATAAAGTACTTATTTGGCTGGCTTCTTTGGAAATAAACAAAGGAGCCTAGGGCCAAAATCGAACTAAGTCAACCTAAAACTTCTTTGTTTCTCTACGAAGAAGCCAGCCGATGACTTAAGCCAGCCATATAAGCTCTTTATGTATTCCCACACTTAGTAAGTTTAATGGCAGACGTTATAGTGTGTTTATATATCCACAAGATTAATCCACTTGATCTAATAAACCCATATAAATGCGTTATAAGTACCCAGTAAACAATTTTTGCCGAATTCGGTGAAAATTCTTGGAAAAATAGGAGAAAAACTTAGATTTTCGGAAAAAATTCGGAGGACAACTCCGAATTTCTAAAAGAAATGGGGCAGAATTCGTCAGGAAATTCGGCGGAATATTCAGATTCAGAAATCGGTTAGAATTCGAAAGAAAATTCGGAATAACAGATTTTCTAAAAAAATCGCTCAGAATTCGGGAGAAAAATCTGAAAAAATTGGTCACACCAGTTAAAAATTAAAAAAAAACACATATTTTTTTAAAAAAATAAACAATTTATTTCAGAATTCGAAAAAATGTAGTTTAGATATTATATCTATAATACATTTATATTTTATATCTTATAAATATTATTTTATTAGGAACATAATATACAGTGCATTTAAAAAAAGAGTTGAACACAAGCTAAAATTCACGCATGTAAATACTATATGAATGAACAGATAATTCAATTATTTTGTTGCATGGTAGAATAATATAGGTAGACGCATCGACACAGCTGCTGGAACAGTGAACTGTCAAACCAATTTTGAAATTGAAAATGTTGAATGAAAAACTATTTAAATTTGTAAAAATTGTTGAAAAACGCGAATTAAAAATAAAATCCGAATGACGTAGTAAAGGGTGATTTTTTTGAAGTTAGGATTTTCATGCATTAGTATTTGACAGATCACGTTTGATTTCAGACATGGTGTCAAAGAGAAAGATGCTCAGTATGCTTTGACATTTCATCATGAATAGAATTTTCGTCGAATTTTCAGTGAATGGACCCTAGAAAAGTTGGCAGAAAATCCGGTTTTTTATCGACAAATTTTGTTCAGCGATGAGGCTCATTTCTGGTTGAATGGCTACGTAAATAAGCAAAATTGCCGCATTTGGAGTGAAGAACAACCAGAAGCCGTTCAAGAACTGCCCATGCATCCCGAAAAATGCACTGTTTGGTGTGGTTTGTACGCTGGTGGAATCATTGGACCGTATTTTTTCAAAGATGCTGTTGGACGCAACGTTACGGTGAATGGCGATCGCTATCGTTCGATGCTAATAAACTTTTTGTTGCCAAAAATGGAAGAACTGAACTTGGTTGACATGTGGTTTCAACAAGATGGCGCTACATGCCACACAGCTCGCGATTCTATGGCCATTTTGAGGGAGAACTTCGGAGAACAATTCATCTCAAGAAATGGACCAAGATCA